AGTATTTTAAACTGTATAAAAAAAATTGAAATCAATTGTGAAAATCCATTCCTTATATAGGACGTTCCCTCCTGTTTTATTACACAACATCGACTTGGTTAGTAAAATAATGACTTTTTATATCACAGGAGTTATTCAATTATTTTCACCGATCATCAGGTGAAGCGATACTTTTTTCCAGTAACTGTACCTTTAACATTTTTTAGAGAAGAGTGTTAAAATCAAGATTATTCAACGAACTATCATTACTTGTATAAATCTTCAAACTTTTAGATTTAGCAATCTCTTCGTCTAATATTCTACTTGTATGATATGCATCTGGATGTGGTTTGTATGCTTGTTGTGAAGTGCCACTACCACTGCTACTAGTAGTATTATTATTGTTACTATTTTCATGTTTTTTGAATAATCTTTTTATTAAACCATTATTTTTTAAGTTCTTATTTGTTAAACTTTTATTTTTAACAATTTCTTCAAGTTTATTTTTAAAAATTTCATCACGTTTATTTCTAGCAAAGTCATAAAGCTCTCCACTAGTTGGTCTTTTTGATGGATCCACATCACAACACTTCTGCATCATTTGCACATAATCAACAGGCATTTCAGGTAATATTGGTGGTCGTAAACCTTCACATATATCCAAAATCAAACGATGATTGTGAGATCTATTATCAAATGGTGGATGGCCTGCAAATATTTCCCACATTAACATTCCAACACTATAGATATCAGTTTCTTTTGTGTTCTTTGTGTTATTGCCTATAAGCAGCTCGGGTGCAATATATGATACAATTCCATAGACTTTATTTGATGATTCATCATCAACTGGTCCACATAATCCTAAATCTGTAATATAACAACCACCTCCTTCCACAAGTATATTACCACTATGTAAATCACAATGGACTAAATCTTTTTTATGTATATCATATAATGCTTTGCATAAATATCTAAAGATTATAATTCTGTCTTTTAATGTTAAATTTTTTTGCAAATAACCCCTTAAATTTCCTTCTGGAGCATAAGTTAAAACAATTGCATAATTTCCATTATCTGGGAATTTAGTTATACCATAACACTGAACAATTAAATTTGATTTAATTTTACAATAATTTATTGCCTGTAATTAAATATAAAACCAATTAGTATTATATAATACAGTATTGTTTATTTGTTTAAATGACAACTACCAACCTCATCAAAAAAGGCTTTTCCTGGATTACTTGAATCATTTAAACTTTTTAATACTACTAGTTGCCCTCTACCTCCAAAATAACTAAATTCCTTTTTATTTTCGTCATAATCAATTATTCTTCCTCTTGTCCATGTAGCAGTATAAATTGAACTAAATCCACCTTCCGTCAACTTGTTATATTATAAAATTGCTCAAAAGGTATCCATTCTAAAATACAGTCTGGCAGAGATGATTTCATTTGACATTGTTGAATAAAATCATCAATTATGTTATTTCCAGATGTCCAAGTGGTGA